AGCACCCAACCCCGTGTAACAAACTATCGCTAGTCAGAAAGTGATATTCTAGTTAGAGTTAGTGGCATTTTGGTCGTTTTCTAATGTAAGGCCACACCTGTGGTAGCATGTTTAATACAGTAGCAGTTGGGGAATTATTACGCTAAGTGGTGGTGTGGCGGTCATTTGCCACATCGAGATTTCGTATCATCACGTGCGTGGCGTTAGCCAAGGGCCGCTAAATCCGTTTGGGAGGGGCGTCCGAAAGCTAGACTACACTTTCGCAGGTGGTAAGCGTCCGCCTGACTATAGAAGCAGAGGTATTTTCCTTCGCAGTCAGATCAATGTCCGGGTCTAGTAAATGAAAAGGAGCCTCTTGTGTGTTATCAGATGGTTCTATTGTCTCCAGGTCCAAGTTCCTCCTCGCAGGTGATGCATGAAATGATTTGAGATTCCTCTACCCAGTTCGGAAACAATGCCTTTGCCGATATTAAACACCCCCAATATTTCCCGGCAAGTGCTCCTTGCGAAGTACTTCCTCCGGTGGGGATCATGGCAAGGCAAGGAATCGAGAGGACAACGGGTTGATCATTCGTGCTGAGGTATTCCCCATGGGAGAGGTCTCCGTCGCCTAACCCTAGAGGTGTCTGAGCTTCGGCAGCTGCTGATGTTTAAAGGTTGTCCCAATACCAGCGCCCCACACTCGGCATCACCCCCACCTGGATAAACAGCAGGCCAACGACATGGGGCAGAACCATGAACATTGTCTAAGCGACCTAAACAGGCAAAACCGCCGTGAACAGCCAGGAAGTCTTCTACTCTTCTTGCTTGCTGCATGTTAATCTAAGGTGGAAGAATGAGGACAATCCGGCTTCAGTTGGATCACCGACCCAAGACCCAAGCTGCTGCACCTGCTCTATAGACTTGACAACGAGAAAATAGCCAATGAATTCGCTCATCCAAGGATAAAGAGAATATATATAAGCCCTTGAGATCCGTCCTCCTCCACCATCCTTTACCACAGAAGAACTTCAATTAACTATTCCGCCTCAGCCTCGCACACAATCAAAATGGTCGTTCTCCTTACTCTTCTTGCTCACATTGTGGCAGCTATGTAAGTACTAAGTCCTTGCACTTGAGTCCGTTTTCAAGCTGATGGTTGTGTACAGGGCTATTCCAGCACCAGTACCTGCGCCCGCGCCACTCCCAGTTCCCCAGCAGACAAAGTAAGTACGCTGGTGCAACACCATTCCAGTGAAGTGTTGGCTTATCATATACAGTCCAGAAGCCTGGTTCCCTGACGTTTGGGGTTGCCGCTGCCACAGTGCGGAGAAGGACCTTCCTCTTGTTCAACCTATCTGCAACAAGTTTGGAGGCACCGACACGACCATCTATCCTCCAGCCAAGCCGGATCCGTTCTTAGGCAGATTAGTTTGGGTAAGCTGTAATTCTTCGATCAGTCTTTATAGTCTATGCTAACATGACCATGTAGTGCCAGAAAATATCCCTCAAGTCGGCCCCAAGGGCGAACAGATTGGCAGATGTGTTCACCGACGCAACATGCCAGGAGGAATTTGGCGCGGGCTTCGTAGCACAGTGTAAGAACCAGGGTTATACACTGTGCTTTGGCGAGGAGGAGTGTTATTAACTCTAATATCAATTTTGGAGGGGGGGGGGGAGCCTAACTGTTCAATGTACCGAGCTAACCTCAAGTAATATGTGTAAGCGTATTAGAAACCACTCCGCTAGGGTAGCCATAATAATAAACATTGTTTGCCTACGTTAACGCAATGGATATGACCATCAACATCTTAATAAGAAGGTGTTAAAGTAGCTTAATTGTAACGGCTAAGGCGCTAATCAGACTAATATCCGAACAGCATCCGAAATAAGCTCTGTTAAACTTAGCAGGAACTAGTAATATAGAATCTACTCTACGGAGGTGCCTCACAAAAGTTCTGTCCCGCCAAGAATAATCTATCCGATGTACGGCCGCCTTAGCCGAGGCTTGTCTCTCCCCTCTATGTAC